AAGTTCTTTATAGATTCGAGATAGTAGACCTTTGTCTGAGGGAAGGTCCCAAGTTTGATCTGTAGTATCAAGAAAAAGAAAAAAAAGGAAAGTAAGATCAAAGAGGAAGAAAGCATTTTGAGGAACAGATCAGAATATTTCTTGGTCTATCTTAAAAAATGAATGAATGATGAATCCAGCAACTAGAGATTATTTCTCTGTGATATTATTTGGGAGAAATTTACTAATGAGTTTTAGTCTCATGTTCCCTGTGGAGGGAAAAGCATGACAATGAGGGATATTAGAGAGATTACCAAAAGCCTGAGGGCTGGGGATTTAGCTCAGTGGTTTTGCCACCTGCTTCGCAAGCTCAAGGACCCGAGTTCGATCCCCAGTACCAAAAAAAAAAAAAATCTGGAGAGTTGTATCCCTAGCAGGATTACCCACATTATGGATCCTATTAAAAACAAGAGTTCTAAAGCAGGTGCCCATTTAAGCTGTGGTGGATCAGGGACATTAACAACTCTACTTCTCTGCACCCAGAGCAGTTTTGGAGTCTTGCTTTTTGAAGAGGAGCCTTAGATATTCCAGAGATTCACAGGAGTAGCTTTCTTTTGGGGGTGATCCTTTGCCTCAGACAGGTCATGTAGAGATGGCTTTATCCTAGAAAGGTGAATCCAGCTATCTATCTTCTCACCTTTGCTCCAGCAGTTGTGGCAAGGATCACTGAAAATGGACCCTTCCATTTGGGTTTAATTGGTTTGCAGGACCTCCTTCTTTCCAAGCTTTAACAAACACTTGATCTCCATGGCAGGTGGTCCCATAGTACAGAAGCTGACAAGACTTTGTTCCCATATAGTTGGATAGATTGTTATATTTGGCCTAGGTTAATAAGATATTGTAAAACCTTGTGGCCTCTGGGTCTACTACCATATCAAAAGATAAAAAAGACCTCCCATGTAACATATTAAATGGAGCCATACTTCACCCAATATTTGGGGTGTTTTGAATCCTCATGAGGGCTATTGGCAATAATTGGAACCAAGACTCAGAAGTCTCTCAGCAATGCATGG